CGCCGCCTGTGATGCCCCCCCCGAGACAGCCACGTCTGCAGTCGTCCTCGAGCGTGGTGTGAGCGGTGTCCGTGAGCGAGCCGCGCCCTCTTGCGCATCGGTGGCTGGAGTCATACGTGGCAGTGGCGCGCGATTTCCCCCGCCCTCTCTGGCTGCCGTCGCGGCGTCGACGTCGAGGACGTCTTCCCGTACTGCCCGCCCTCCTGCGCGTCGTCTGTTGCCAGCGTCGTCTATGCGGAGGCCGCCACTCCCCCGCCTGGACGACTTCCGCTGCAACGGCATGTCGTCAGAGTCTTCGAACTTCGTCCCCTCCTGCGTCGCCACCTCCTCCAGCACCCACTCTTCATCCACCACGTAACCTCCATGTGTCGGGGCGCCTTTGGAGGATCTTCCTCTTCTTGCTGGCCATGTAACGGCCCTTCTTCTCCAGGGGCAGCGGTTGTTGTGCAAGGTTGGCGGCGGCCCTGCCGCGTTCGGAACCGCGGGACGACATGGCGCAAGACACACCCGCGACAACCTTGTTCGCCCACTTCGCTTCGATGACGTGCCGTGCGCTATCGAAGCCAACTGTCAACTGCGATGGCGGTGTTGGCGACGTATTCGACAACGGCCCGTAACATCGATGACAATGGCGATGATCGCTTGGTATGCGATGCCGGCGACGTCCGCGGTGACGATGACAATCCCGACGACGAAGGCGACGATCTTTGGAAACGCGACGAAGGCGGTGAAGACGACGGGCGAGATCATGTGCTCTCTGACGAGGATGTCGCCGAAGACGACTGCAAAGACGACACAAGCAGTGAAGATAGCTACGTTGGCGACGGACGCGGTGACGATGGCGCTGACGGCGACGACGTTCAACAAAAAGCCACGATGGCGACGATGGCGATGAAGGCGCTGATGAAGGCTACGAAGGCGACTCACGTGGCGAAGACGACTGCGACGGCGGTGGAACAAGCGCGGCGGGCGGCGGGGACTGCGTGAGGTAAACAGAGAGAGTGCTCTCGTGCATTTGAAAAGAACGCCCGCGTCCTTATAAACACGTGTCACGCGGGGTGGACGGCAACGAAGGAGCAGCGCGAAGGCCAGCCGAAGGGCATTTCCATGCTCCACCAAACGATACGAAAAGCCCAGGGTTATCGCGGCGGGCGAGACAAAAGGCGAAGGGTCGCGGGCAAGGTGACCGTGCATCCGCTGCACCACCGCCCTTCGTCTCGCCTCCCTTCATCGATTGTGGACACGGAGGGACCCCACAGGCCGAAATTATGCCCCCACAAATGACTCCATCCCACTCCCCCATCGTCCACACTCCATGCCGGCCAGGGACCCCACAGGCACGATTGCATTTCATTTCAGGAGATGACACCGAAACACATGCTGGAGAGAAAGAGGGGGGCGATTTTGATTGAACACAAGAATTCTGAAAATGAACGGCATTAAAGACAACACCTTTATTACACCTTTGCATTTCATTTACGACAAAGACACAAAGAAACGAGAGAGAGAGAGAGAGAGAGAGAGAGAGAGAGAGAGAGAGAGAGAGAGAGAGAGAGAGAGAGAGAGAGAAAGAAATCGAAGTCGTCATGTAAAAAAGGAAAGTGCATACTGCACTTCATGGACTCCAATTACAATTGAGAGTTGACGGAATCATATGTCCCGTCACACGACCGAGGTCAACAACAAACGAAACGAACAATGCAAACAAATAAAAAAAAAAAGAAACAAATGTCACTGAAGGACTCATCCACTGAATCGGACCACTACCCAATTCCCTGGCCACCACCGCCAATGGGGGAACGCCACATCAACGACGACGGCGATGGCTACATCGACGACGGAAAGACTATCACTTTTGCGCCGTCCAAATCCATGCAAGCGAACAGAGACCACAACAGAGGCGGCACTAAGTCTAACGTTTGGCGATGGCCTTCGCTATCTCCAGCAAGGCGTGACACATAAGCTTGCTGACTTCGTCTAACGCTGCGTAGTGCTTTTTCTGCACTTCGATCTCCGCTTCCAGCGCCTCGCACTGCCGTATGGCGATGGAGCAATGACGTTTGCTTTTGCTCTCCATCATCGACGCCATTAGCGCCCCGTGCTTCTCCATGCATTCCGTCATTGCCTCAAAAGTTTGCTGCCTCGTGCTCTTCCTCTTGCCGAAACCGCCTGCGCCACCCGTCGTCTGCGAAGAACCTTTCGTGGACCCGTCGTCGTCGTCGTCGTGCTCTGCACCACCGTCCACGTCGCCCACAGATTCAGGATCCGCAGAAGAGGCGGACGGCGGACACACACCACCCTAAGCACCAGTGTCGGCGACGTTCTTCAGGTTTATGGTGTGGTTCTTGGCAGTCGACCCCAGTATCTCGTCGTAAACCCCACGATCCATATTGAAACTGAAGCCCTTCGACATCCTGTCCTTCCCAGACAATTGGAAGAAATCCTGTTTCCCGGACAGTCCTTAGAAATGATGAACCTTCTTGAACTGCATCAGATTGTCCCACTTCTTCCCGCACCGATCGGCCTCTCTGTCGACGCCCACCTTCTTCAACCTCGTCGCCATATCCAGCCACTTTCAATCTCGCGGCTTCATCCGAGCGTACGCGTGGCCCATCCCCTGCAGATGCGCATCCTGATCACGTTTAGCTCGGATGAGGGCTATAATGTCGTTGATGGACCAGAAGTTACGACCTCCTTCCCCATCGACGTCACCTTCGGCATTGCTACCCTTGCCCGCCGTCCTTTTGCCCCGACGACCATTGTCGGCACACGACTTCGTCTTCCCGCCCCTCCCTCCCATAGCGGCCGCCTGCTTCGACGGCGAAATGTAGCCTGCGTCGTCCTCCCCACCTTCAGCGTCATTGTGGTTCCAGTCGGCGTCGTGCGCGTCCGCCACTGCTTCCTCGCCGTCGTGTCCATCTTCCCCAAAAAGCAATCACTGCACCCCCCCGAGTTATGGACTCCTCCCGCCCCCCGCATCAACCGTCGCTATACGTATGTATTCCGTAATCTGGTGAAATTAATTCAATTCTAAAAATAAATCGTCTGTATACGTGATCCTATGGGCGCTCTTGCGTTTTCTTTTATTTACTTCGGCCTCTCACTCAACTCACTCACTCGAAAACTAGAATAGAGAGCCGTATGATAGGTGACTATCTCGTACGGTTCGGAGAGGACTCGAGTACCGCTGGCATGTTTTGCTCAGTGGGGAAGTTTCACTTACCTCCCTCCCGTCACGTGCGTCACCAACATCAGCGACGCCACGCGCCGTCTCCCTACACTCGCCAAGACGGCGGCCTGCACTCGAACCGGCGGACAGGGGAGACGGAGACTGCATCCAATGGGGGCGAGCGGAGGCACCCCTACACACAGACGGCGACCGAAATTGCTGCCTCGGAGGATCCTTGTTGTTCCCCGAAGCCTCCCGCAGCGGCGCTGGAGACCTGGGTGTTTGCTGAACAGCCGTCACGTCACCGCCATCGTCGTCGGGATGGGGGTTTACGACGACCGTTCGAGAGATGGCTGCCGACCTCCCGCTACCAAGTCCAAACGACAGATTCACGCCGCCATTGCCATCGTGGTCGCTGAGCCCCTGCTGGAGAAGTTCGGTGTAGGACTGCCCATTACCGCCGAGGTTGCAAGTGCGGTGGAACATGCAAGTACCTGGACCGCTCCGACGGCCTTGAACTATTCAACGGGCTGTGCCCAGACCACAGCCCACCGTGCTCCCCTGTCAACCCGCTGATCGCCTGCCGGCCCTCCATCCTGGCGTTGTTCTTCAAAGATCTCGTTCTGCGACCACGTCGTGGAACGCTGCCGAGGATGCACGCGTGGACGACAACCAGGAGGAGGAGCAATAGGACGACCAGCAGCAGCAGCGGCAGCCTCCGAAAGACGTCGGCCATGAAAGGCACGTGGATGACGGTGGCAGCTAGAAGACAACGGGGGATCTATCACGTAACGGCGAGGGACACTGCTGCAAACGCTTGAACGCAGCAAACGACAAAAGCAGGGTAACGCATTCCGTTTGTGAAGACAGCGCGCAATCGCCCGGGCGGGGGATGGTTGAAATATTTGAATATGGCGACCGTTGGGCACCTTCCCGCTCTGGGCCAAGGGCGGCGACGCAAGGCAGCCGCTTTTCGACGTCGTGGAGGCCAGCAGGCCGCAAAAGGAGACCGTTGGCGGACTGTTCCATGGCGCCGACCGTTGCCGATCGAAGATGTCCATCCACGGGCGCCAGGAACAGCAGTGGTACAGACGGCCGTCGCAAAATGTCGTCGAGAGAGCTGCCTACGACGTCCCGATTCTTCTGGATGCTTGACCTCCGAGGGACCTTGGGAGGTCCCTTCCCTTGGGGAACGCGTCGAAATGGCTGTAGCCCGAGGAATCCCCGAGGAATCCCCGAGGAAATGTTTTCACATTTTTTTTCCAATTTCTTCCTCGAGGATAAGTGGAACGATCATTTCCTCGGGGGATTTACGCGCCCCAGGAGTGTGGAATGAGCCCCCTAATGTACGTTGTTTTCGGGCAAGGACGAGTAGTCCTTGAGGGCGAAATCCCACTTGCAAAGAGATTGGATTGAAAACCTGAATCTGGTCGGTCGTGTTTGAGTAGACGTGCAGTTCATTGCCATTGCTCTGCTTTTCCGCATCTCGAAATAAAACGCTTCCACATTCAGGTGCTCAGCTTAGTGAAATCTTCCGGGCTAGTGGGATCTCGCCCGCACAAGTACGGCTCGCTCCACTACTTAACAGCCCACAGGTATCTGGACTGCCGCATGGTCCAGATACGTGTCGAATGTTTAGTAGTGGATCCATGTTTAGTAGTGGATCCAGGCCCTAACCTTCTTGGGACTCTGCAGCTTCCACCGCAAAGCAATTGCCAAAGCCGTGATTTCTTCTTTTTCTTTTTTTGGTGGGAAAATTGCATCTGTATCCCGTTTAAAGATGGGAACACCCTCTATACCCAGTCCAGCGGCATGGTCCCACTAGCAAAGAGGATGGGATAGAATGCCTGAATCTGGACGAGTTTATGGAGATGTGCAGGAAATCGAGACTGAACTGCTTTTCTGCATCTCTGCTTAAAACACATCCAGATTCAGGAGCTCGATCCTATCCTTTTTGCTAGTGGGACCTCGGCCCAGCACCCAACTTGCATCTATATCCCCTACTCTTCCCATGTGCCAACTTATACGCATACCCAGTCCCACAGGCCCTTAGTTGGGGAGCACAAATTTACAGGGCGAGATCCCACTGGCAAAGAGGAGGATTGTAGTAAGTGTCCGAATGTGGACGTGTTTGTGGACAGGTGCGGAAAATTGTGATTGATCTACTTTTCTGCACCTCTGCGTGGAACACGTCCAGATTCAGACTATTCTTCCAATCCTCTTTCCAGTGGGATCTGGCCCTTATGCCCAGTCACCGGGCAGGCAAAACTGGGTATGCATACAATTTTCAGGGGCATGAGCGTAACTTGAGCATTCCGGTAGTTGGGTATAGCTGCAAATTGGCAGTACCAACCTTGGCCCACCTTTGCGCAGCCCATTTCCCGGGTACAGATGCAAGTTGGCCACCGGGACTGGGTACAGCGGATATTCCCTATTTCAAAATAGGGTACGGTTGCAATTTATCCCTTTTTTTTTTTTTTTTGCAAAGCGGTTATTTCACGCGCGCCATTCTTTCTCCTTTTTTCAATCTTTCTTTTTCAAAGGGCGACGGCCTTGGGGCCTCTCCCCACGGCGCACGGAACGAAAACGAGTGCATCTGCCCACGGAAGGTGGCAATATAAACTCGTTACTATTCATAGCAAACGAATGAACCTGGCCATTTTCTGCGAGAAGATGCACTCATTTGGTTTTTCGTTTCGTGTGCCGTGCGGCGACGGCCTTGAGGTGTGATGTTACTGCGGGGATGGTGTTAATCACTGATCACTGATCGAGTTGATGATCTGACGGCCCCAGATAATTCATAATTATTTTGTTCCTGCTCATCTTATTTTGTCCGGATTCGATCTTGGATCTGAACTTCAACAAGTTGATGCGTGTACCAACTGAGCCACCTTCTTCCCCCGAATACAACGTACGGTCGTTATAGCTCTTCTTCCCCCGAATACAACAACGTACGGTCGTTATAGCTGTGTATTTGAGGAATCTTTCAATCCAGATACAGCTATAATGACCGTACGTTGTATTCGGGGGAAGGAGTACCGTCTTCCCCGAGCATAATCACCCTCATTTTGTTTGTACCTGACCTGAAATATAGCTTGTATACATTCATTATCAGAGTGCGGAACATCATCGCCCTCATTTTGTTTGTACGTGACCTGAAATATAGCTTGTATACATTCATTATCAGAGTGCGTTATGCTCCAGGGAAGACGGTAGGCCCATACTTTCTAGATCACAATCCATCGCCCGCAGCCTCGTCATCACATCGAACGGCTGCACGTGGATCAACAATTTTATTTTATTTTTGAATTTTTTGAGAGAGAAATGTAGGCTGGTTAGTCCGATGATAATACCTCAAGGTCATCGCCCTTTAAAAAAATAATAATAATAAAAAATAAAAAATAAAAAAATGTTTGTTCAACAATTGCGACGTGCAGCACCAAGATTGCCCTCCGTCAAAGAGCCTCGTTGCACCGCACAACATCCTGAAGGCATCTGAAGATCGAAATGGTCCAAATGCACGCAAAACATTGAATAAGTCGGAATGAATGTGGTCAAGAAACAGTCTAGGTGCATGTCGAATGATGTTTAGTGGAGCGCGGCCCAAAATCAGAAGGTAAGAACGGAAGTATGAATCCCCAGGGACAGGCGAACGGAAGCGAGAAAGAGTGAGAGGGAGAAGTGAGCAACGAGGGATCGCAGGCTCAACCGCGACGAGACAAGGCAAGAGAGAATGAGAAACCCCCCCCCCTTCCCCCCGGGGGGGGGAGGAGGTGGGGAAAAAAAAAAGAGAGAGAGAGAGAGAGAGAGAGAGAGAGAGAGAGGCATCAAGTGCGAGACAAGGCGAATAGAACCTCAGAGCTTACGATCCAGAAGCAACTGCCGGAGGGGATCAGTCCAGAATCATACGATCCATCGAACCGAGACAACCGATCCATGGAGCCGAGACAACGCAAGAGAGAAAACGAAACACAAAGAGAGAGAGAGAGTAAGGTCATCAGACGGGAAACACATTGAAACGCGGTTCCGATCTTTTGCGTGTGTGTGTGTGTGTGTGCGTGTGTGTGTGTGTGAGAGAGAGAGAGAGAGAGAGAGAGAGAGAGAGAGAGAGAGAGGCATCAAATGCGAGACAAGGCGAATAGAACCTCAGAGCTTACGATCCAGAAGCAACTGCCGGAGGGGATCAGTCCAGGATCATACGATACATCGAACCGAGACAACCGATCCATGGAGCCGAGACAACGCAAGAGAGAAAACGAAAAGAGTAAGGTCATCAGACGGGAAACACATTGAAACGCGGTTCCAATCTTTTGCGTGTGTGTGTGTGTGTGTGTGTGTGTGTGTGTGTGTGTGTGTGTGTGTGTGWGAGAGAGAGAGAGAGAGAGAGAAACCAAAGTCCGAGATCGCGATCGAGATGCAATCACGCGCGCTCCACCACCCGCCTGTCATCAACTGCGTTACACTGACAATGGTCAGTGAGTAATGAGACACAGTGTGCCCGGCACAGTGTGCCCCGCACAGAGAGAGAGAGAGAGAGAGAGAGAGAGAGAGAGAGAGAGAGAGAGAGAGAGACGAAGTTCGGAGTTGTGATCGGGCAGCAATCACGCGCGCTGCACCAGCGCCTGTCATCAACTGCCCTGCCTTATACACTGACAATCGTGAGTAGACTCAGTACAAAGTCACCTTGTGCCGTAGAGTAAGCACGCCACGCAGCAGAGATCGTTGTTTCAACTGGGACTAGAACCAACCATTAAACGCGGGACGCTGCGCAACTATATACACACGACAAGCACGGCAATCGAACGCAGTTCTCATAGACAAGAGAAACAAAATAGAAAAAAAAAAAAAAAAAAAAAAATCGAGCGCGATCCTTGTTGTACA